CCCGTACGCCTCTGTGGTGGATTCTTCGGCAAGGACCTTCTCCTGCATTCTGGCTCGGGTTCAAGTTTGGAGCAGCCAGCCCACAAATAGTGGATGCAGAGTAGATGGCACAATCCCCTAAGAAGGTGGTAATATATTATATATAATTACATACTCTGAAATCACTGTAGGTTAGAACCTGTAAACAAACTACTGCATCCTTTGGTTAACCTCGATTGAAGCAAACCACATGATGAACATCTGTGGCTTCTGTGTCTTGGACCCTTCACCCTGTTCTCGCAGTCCTGGGACATCTCTGTGAGAGTCATCGGGAGTTCCTCCTTGAGGTCCTTATCCTGTTCGTGTCGGATGCGCGGCTTTTGCCGCTTTAGTATGCTGTATATAGTCATCTTGATTCCATCAAACAAAATCAAACAAGTGAGGCGTACTTGGCAGCCCGCGATGACGTGGGCATGTTCCTTTCGCGCCGATTTGATCCGATTTGGGGTCCCCTGAGTTAGTCCATTCTCTGGAAGGACATCCGCGAGTTCCTCACAGGGTTTGGGATTTCTGCTTCATGAAGCACAACTTTTGTCACCTGATGCCACTTGATGCATGTGCTGAAAGTTGCCGGTCGGCGGCAGGGCTCGCCTCTGAGAGAACTGGAAGAGCTGCGACAGATGTTTTGCTGCAGTGAGAGCCCACCTGCAGTGAGAGCAAAGCCAACTGATGCAAAGAGCCCTACGCTGAAGGGCCCTGGATGCTTTAATATGCTTTAATCCACTCAGTTCAGGTTTCTACTGGAGAAAGGACTTGCTGCAGAAGCCCGTTGCAGGTTCTGAAGCCTGTGGGCTTCACCTCCTTCAGTTCCTGGCTTCAGGGGTGACTCGGCGCCTTCTCCACATTCTTCTGATAAACGGACTTGGAATAAAGCAACAATAAGCAACCTGTTTTTTTGATGTTTATTGACTCTTCACACAGGTTCCCCTGCATTGAACCACTGAAAGGGTCGAGAACCTAGGAACAAGTTGCTGTACTGTGACCCCACCTCTATGTCGTCCAGCAATAGATCTGCCTCGGAAAGCAAAAACCGAAAGCACATGTTGAATTCAACTACCCGGTAACTACCCATTGCTTGAGTTTGAACTATAACTATGTAAGATAAAGTATGTAGGGTTGCACTCCAACACTCCAACATAAGCTTCGCAACTTCAATCGCAGGGAAGTGGCGACGTTTGAGGGTGTTTGGTATCCGACCAGACCATGCTGCCTTCTTGCACATAGGTTTGTGCTCTTCCTCTCCCTCCCTCTCCCTCCCTCCTCTCCTAGCGACTTCTTCCACTGAGGGCCTTCATGGTAGGAAAGGTTCCCATAGTGTAGCGCTAGCTAGCATCAAGCTGAATGTTATGTGGGTACCTCAGTACCTCTGTACCTTGTGTGATGTGAGTCTATGCTTTGCCCTGCATGTAGTTTACACAAACACTCAGGCTATACAGCCCTTTTGCATCTTTTGGGGTCATTGTGTATACCTCCTCAGGTAGGTAGGTAGGCAGGTAGGTAGGTAGATAGATAGCTAGGTAGGTAGGGGTGGTCCTCGATGTATCCGAACACCAACTTCGGTCACCAATCACATGGCTGCCGAACGAAACGGCCGAACGCTTGGCCTCTGCGTTGCTTGGGTCTTCGAAACCTCGCACCTCCGAACACGAAACCGACAAGTCGAATTTGACGTGGAGAGGAACTATCCCAAACACTCGATGGGTGATGGGACTGGAAGATTGATATACCATGATATACCTACATTGGTAAGTACATTGGGGTGTTTTTTGGGGTTAGTGTATGTAGTTATATGTACATCTCTGGGTGTATGATGGTATATGACCCTTGTGCGTCCAGCAATTGCTACGTCGACATCACCGTTCTGTTCGGAAATTGGCCGAGCCGACAGGGCTTACCCGTTCTGGAAATAGAAAGCGCATCGGTTGGAGGATGGGATGTGCCGACAAAAAAGCCGCCTCGCAAATTCGCGGGATGACGGAACGACGACGGTATGGCATGTGGTTGCTGGAGAAAATCACAGGAGGCATCAAGAACATTCAAGAACCAAACCATTCTTTTCAATTGGCAAATCTTGATCCACTGGTTTCTCCCGCCGGGGATTTCCGTCCTTCCGGGATGCTGCTTGGGCATGACATGACAAACATGAGGGGAACAACACAGCAATTCAAGCCACTATCTTATACTCATCAAACCATGATTTCTCGGCTGGTGTGGCTACAGCATGCTACAGCACGGGTTCTCATTCAGGAACTGGTGGCGAAGTGGGACCCCCGCCCACAACCCGGTAAATCGTTCCCATATCGCATAGGAATGATTGGTAGGATGCAGTCGCTCCGGAAACATTGAGCACTTGCCCTTCCTGAAGATCGAACTTGAGTGAGAAACACACAGAACGCAAACATTGGACACCCATGTAGTGAAATAGACAAAACAAGTTCTCTATTTGGGGTCCACTTGGGCCCAGTTGGGATGATCCCAAACCACGCAGCGGGTCCCATGCGCCTCCTTGGATGTTTTGGGACTCTGCTCGGCACAACACCAAGCAAACATAACCAGTCAGTTCCTTCAGAACTGAACAACAGCTGCGGGCATCCACATTGAAATGTGTAAGCGAGTCGCTTTCCGCCATGTTCAATGACAACCCAACTTTCTACAACCTTCCCTTGGAACCTCTGCACCTGTAGCATACTGCGCGGCCTTTGCATCGGGGGCCATGAGGGTTCTTTTTCTGGGAGATTTGTGGGAGGTGCCGGATACAAAGAATCGATTTCTAACACACCGCAACACACCCTTGAGATGCCTCCAAGATCCTCCAAGTATATAATGTACCAGTTTTTTGGGAACATTTCAAAACTCGTCTCCAGTCTGCCGTGGCAAGTTGGTCAACATTGATCCAAGAGCGAATGTTACATGGATTCAAGACCAGGATCACTGACATAAACCCCGCAAGCACGTCACTTTTGGTGATGTGCCAGGCTTCTTTGCGCACCTTTCCCGGGCTGACAAGCGGTCGTTGATGTCGGCTCATCGCCCCACGTGGAGGATGACCCAAAGCAGTTTCAAGAAAACGGCTGTTGTCCTAGAGTGAGTGTTCCCCAAACAGCAAAGGGCATCTATTGACTTTCAATTGGCCTCCATCACCTGGAAAGCTCTTCCCCTCTCCCTCTCTGATTGTTGCACGGCTCCGTTGAAATCGAATCAACCCCAGTTGCGTTTCACTTTCCACACCATGCCCAGGCCAATTTGAAATTTCTATTTACATTGTATCGCCTGTAGCTCCGGTCAGCCTTTTGTCGTCACGACCAGCGGACTGCTGCGGGCGTTTTCATCTCTGACTGGTGCAGCCTCACGACAGCTGCGGTCCTCTCGAATCGAGGGAACCAAAAAACGCCTCGAAGTGCCCAAACCGCGTGATGCTGAGAGGGTTGCTACCACTTCAGAGGTTAACGTGTTCAGGAAACAGATCTACGCTTGCGCACCTTATGTTGGAAAGTCACACAGTTGACACGTGCTGAATCACAAGGACATGGTTAGTTGGCTCTTGCTTGGAACATCTAGCTGCTGGCCCATTAATGACACTGGCATTCTGCAACCCACGACTCGTTTTCTGAAATTTACATATAATACATATCTTGGTTCAAAAACTCAGCGGTTCTATTCCGAAAAGCGGTTCTATTCCGAAAAGTTGCTTTTGGGCTTTTGGTAGCGGGAACTTTGGAACATGTTTTGAACAAAAAAAGGTCTTGAACTCCCTCCACCTCGCTTCAGAGTTGTGAGTCAACCACCCCCCCACACGACCGACGCACAACCTCAAAGAAGTCGGCGACGTTGCGAAGTGGCCTTGAAGGCAGGGTGTTATGCCCATGGCAAGGGGTCTGTCCCTTGAAAAAGCACCTATGAGTATCGTTCAATATCATTGGTGGAGTGCAATCGAACCTGACCTGTGGCCCCTCAAACATCGAATCAAACCAAATCAATTGCAGAAGCGCAAGGGCGGATGTTGCTGATGTTCTATGTGCTATGTAGAAGTGATAACATTCTTGACCACAACTTCAACTCCTGATCACACATACATGTTTGCAGCAACTGTTCTGCGACAACTTCCATTATTTGGACAGGTGGTCTATCACCACTATATAATGGGTGTATATTATATGGGTGTCCTCTCTTCAAACACCGGTGGGCTTGGCTCATTCCCGTTTGTTCCTGGACTTCTCAAGTGCAGTCAGCCGACTGTCATGACCACTTGAGGTTTAGCAGCTTAGCATTTTTCAATTGCGTCGGGGGTCCCCACAGGCTGCGTGGAAAGCAAACGCTTTCAGTTCCCGAAGTCATCCTGAGCGACAGTGGAGGCACTTGGAGCACTCTATCCTCCAGTTGGCCAGGCCTGGTCCGTAATTGCTTTGTTCTCGTGTTGTGTTATCTGTCAACATTTTCCTTTCTCGACATGCAACCAGTCACTTGGCCTGTCCCCTGACAAAACTTCCAGGTCCTCGCACACTTAACAAACCCAACACTAGCGTTCGTTTGCACAATACAGCACTGAATCCAGGGGTTGGCTTGAAAAGACTTGTGAGGGTGGTTTTGCACGGTTGGCTCGCTGCCAGTAGGGTCGGGCAGGGTGCTGAATTACTTTTGGATCATCCCGGTGCGCTGCTCTGCTGGCACGCTTTTTCATCTTTTCAAGCGATCTTTGCGCTCCCAATGTTGGAACTGGTCTTCCCGGTCTGCCGGCCCAGTTTGAAGCGGTTATGCAGCTCTTTCCCCAAAGTAGACACCATAGCTTTTAAACGCTTCTCAGTCTTTCTGAGACCGACGTGTAGTCGTGTCCGGCCTTCACTGACACCAACAGGACCCTGCAAGTCTTCAAGCCAAGTTGTGTGGCGTGGGCTCTGCAGACTTTTCAATCGTATTTGTGCAGCCGGGCCTGGCTTCCACTTCCTTTCAAAGAGCTGCCCGTTTCATGGTGTACCCAAACAAAAATCATCGCCTCAGTCAGTGGTTGCTTGAACCTTGAGACATTGCATAAAGGCATTTGCACACCTGAATGTACCAGTGACAATCGGCATCCATTGGTCAATATCTCTCACACCCTAACTTATACACATCAACAAGTGATTCTACTCGCGCTTGATGGCCTTGCAGGTACTCTTGCAGGCATAAATTTATACGGTCGGCAGTGCTTGGGGTGCCACCAAGTGGCCTGTGTCATCTAATGCCACTTCCAGCACAGCTTTCCTTGGAGTCACCAACCACCGCGGAAAAAAACTAACACGAACAAGTGCACCCATTCTGGCAACACACTGAAACATGACGAAAGCAAGTGACTTGTGCCCAGCGTCTGAAGTTCTTCCCAAACTTCCTTGCGCTGCTCCAGCTCCAAGCGGTCTTGATGCTGTCGCCTGGAGACCGTGGGCGACAGCATCATCTCTCGGTTCTTCGGACCATCCCAAACCCGAACCGATGTCCTCGATACGGTGGCACATGGAACACGCCCATTCTGTGCAATTCTGGGGATATGGCTGTGCCAATTCGTCACATCACCGAAAACAAGTCGTGATCTGGGTGAAGCTCCATGCAAGCGGGCATAAAGCGCTGGCGGCTGGTGGCTGTGCATCTCCTCCGTGTTTCTCACGCTCATGATCCCAATCCAAGTGCCAAGTGACCTGGCTAGTCTAGTATGTCTAGTGTCTATGGTCTAGTAGCCTTGCCGGAACGCCTTCTCACCCGCAGGGCGCACCCACCACCTCAGGACCAGGGCACAAGATTCGTTGGAATTCACGGAGGTCGCGGTGCCGCTCCCTCTGGGTTTCCTCGGCACGCTGGGTGGCCTCTGCGGCAAAGGTCTGGGCTGCATGCACCTGGAGGGGATGGATTGAGACTTGAGACGATGAAAGCTTCGAGAAAAAGGCCGGTGAATCCGTAGAAACAATGACCTGGGCCTGTCACCCCACAAAAAAACAGCACAAACGGGATCACGGAGTTGACTGGATTGAATGCCTTCAAAAATTTGAGACTGGCCCAAACCTTTTACGGTTGCATACTTGATATAGCTTGTGAACCCCCTTGAGGTACAATATACCATTGAATGTCCTGTACGTGGTAACGGAAAATCTGAAGTTACCAATTCACGTCATCCTGACCACTCTCGAAAGCCGCATGCCTCATCCAGAAAGGCTTCTTGCTTCAGGTAGGCATCTTTCCTGAGTCCCGCCATGGGCAAAGACCATAGAAGGTACACACTTGAGAAGGTTGCTCCGTGGAGCGTGATTTCAGGTAGCTTCGCGGTGTGCATTAGCCCTTTAAATCTAGATACTGCAGGAAACAACGTATGAGACGGCGTTGCACTGACTTAGAAATCTCAGCGATTGAAAATCAAAATTAGTATTAAAATTGCAGGTACGTGATCCTAGCGTCCCAGGATCATATCAGCCATGGAATGCAGCCCTCTTCGTTGGACAACCAACTGCATCCATGGGGTTGTCCCCCTGCTTCTGTACAGAAAAGCTGGTAGGGTAGATTAGAAAAACTAGAGTAGTGTCCTTGGAAACAGGAGTGGACACACACACTGAGCCGTATCGGCGCAACTAGATCGGATCAGGTAGGGCCTGGATAATAAATAGTGGAAGTGCTTGACATTGAAAGGTTCAATACTGTAAAATACATATCACAGCAGTCTGCGAAAGTGCCGGCACATAGTCTTTTTCCTCTTGGCCGCAGCGCCGCGGCGCAGTGTGCTGGTGAATGGCCTTTGGCCATATATAGCGGCATCAACTTCTGTGCTGTCGTGTGGGCAAGATGTTTTGGGTAAGTGTATTTTTGTAGTGTGTGGTGGCGTGATTGTAAGCCTGAAAGGCGTAGTCTGTGACTCCCTGCTGACTGCGGATCACGAATCTGCCAGGAATGGGTGGGGAGTTGGAAGGTGACGGTTCTGTTGAGAGGGTCAATCAAGAAACCGAGTAGATGGTCGTCGTCCACTGGCTCTATTTCAACTGGTTGTTCATAAAATTCAGGATGGGCCAATGTAGTGATGGGGAGCGCTGATCTGTATTGTTCGTTGAGCAAGATGTATCTGTTGTCGACGTAGCGAGTGTTGAGCAAGTGAAGGCTTGGTTGGTGTAAGAAGTTGTGGTATGTGGTTTGCCAAGTGTGTTCGATGAGCGTGATTGCCACATTGCAAAGTGCTGGTGAGAGCTGACTGCCAATGCCGGCTCCTTGAATTTGTTTGTAGTAGGTGTTGCAAGCTTGGAAAATGCATGAGTGAAGAGCTTGTTGAACGATAAGAGGAATGTGTTGTGTGTCAAGTGTGCGTTGCTGTGGGTGGTGGATGTAGTGGCGACCGATGTGTGAGTGTTGGATGGGATTGCCGGTAGACTGGACATCGATGGTGATGGTAGTGGTGTTGTGTTGTGCTTTCCAGCGGTGGCACAGGCTGATGACTGCGTCGACAAGGCGTTGTTGAGGTACGCTGTCGAAGAAGCCGACAAGGTCGTCGTTGATCGGTGTGAGGTGGATGTCTTCGGGTGTGGTCTGGAAATGGTTGTGGAGGTGTTGCCAAAGGTTGGGTATAGATAATTGGCCTGGATGTTGTGGTAGAAGATGAAGGAGCATAATGTCTAATGCTTTGGAGGTGGCTCGTAATAATGTGCCTGCGATGGATCTGAAATAGCTGATGACTGTTCTACCCTTTCGCCAGGATTTCTTTTGTTTGAGGAAAACTACTCCATGTGGTGTGTAGAATTTTGTGCGGAAGCCCCAGGGGTATGCTTTGCGGATGCTGGCTGGGAAGGATTGCGTGAGAAATTGGTGGAGTTGTTGGGCTGTGAGATCTGGTAGTGGGAGAAAAAGTTGTGGTGTATTCCATGTGGTGAGACATCCGTGGAAGTAGTGCTGTGGGCAAAAGAGTCGTAGGTTTTGTAGTTCATGGTCAGCATGATGGAGTACCAGCTTGTCTGTAAGAAACTGTTGAAGCTGTGTAACGTTGCGGGATGTAAAGCGGGGCGTGTGTAGAAGATTGTCGATGTGCTGTTTCCATTGTTGGTGTAGAAAAGGTAGGCTGTGTTGATGGAGGGCAGTGGGTAGACCATGGTGTCGTAGCCAGTAAGTGAGTTGTTGTTCAAAGTGTTGGAAATATTGCGTCTTTGTGGGAAAGAAAGTGCTGTTCATGTTGGCTTGTAGGAATAACTCAAGATGGCTGGGGAGCTGTAGGTCTTCAAGTGTAAGCACGTAGTGACCATCGTAGAGCGGCGGTGTGTGGTTGGGACGAAGCAAGGTGTGCATGTGGTGGCAGCTGCATGGCATGTCAGCTGCTGTGGGATGTGTGGAGAAGAGTTCTTCCCAACGTTTGTGGTTGTAGAGCCGGGAACGCAAAGTCTTGTGTGCTGCTTCGCGTAGTTTGGTAGTAGGGGTGTGGAAGGGAATGACGTGATGCATGTGGTGTTGGATCAGTGTGCGAAGCCATTTTTCCGTGGAAGACGAGAAGGTACTGTGGGAGAGGAAAGGAATGGTAAAGGGTTTGTTGGCTTTGGGTGGAGTGAGATTGCGAAAGCTGAGCGCTGAGTGGAGAAGGTGAAGAACACGTGATCGATCTGGTTCCTCTAAGCTGGCGGCCATTCGACGGAAAGCGTAAATTTCGAGATCAGTGTATTTGCCGCTGCGGATGGCTGTTGATGTTTGAAAAGATGAAAGTGTATGCTTGCTGAGCTCGCGTAAAACTGTCAGGGCGTGTAGGCGTTGACTTGTGTGAAGGTGGGGTTGCTTAATGGTGTGTTGTCGTCGTCGGAGCCGTTGGAAGAGACGTTTGTGAGTGGACATCCGTGTGAAAGTGGTGCGGTGTTTTGAGAATTGCCAACCTGAGGCTTTGAGTTTGAGGTGTCGTTGGATATAGGGCCAATTGAGTGTAGGTTGCCATTCTTGGATCCGCAGGTGTTCGTAGGTCCATGCTTGATCATAGGTGTCGTGATGGGAAAGGTAAATAGTGCTGTAGTGGTGGAGGTTGTTCTTGGAGTGCCAGTAGCGTAGAGAAAGTTCAGCTGAAATTGGGTGGTTATTGTGTAATTGTTTGAGTTTTGCGTGACGATTGTATTCTCGCTTGGGGATAGTGATGCTGGTAGAGCCGATGTATGTATGTCCATGTTGGTGGTACTGGTGTCTTGTGTGATGTTGGTTGAAAAAGAGCTTGGCATAAACCGCATTGGGATGTGTGAACATTTGGTAGTGATAAGTGTGTGGTGTAACTTGTAGTTGGTTGAAACGGGAGCGCCATTGTATAGAGTGATGTGTTTGCGAAGGAAAGGCAAAGAGGCATGTAAGGTGAATAAGACTGACAGAAAAATAGCGTGTGACTTGTCAATGTAGGGGGTGAAATGGACAAAGTGTGATAGCGCTGTGTGTAATGTTGTTAAAGATTGTAGGGTGTGATGTGTTGGTTGATGCAGCGCTTGTTGTACGAGTCAGGCTGCCAATGCCGAACCCGCGGCCACCAGTTGCTGTAGTGAACGTGGGGGAAGCTTGAGGACCCGAGCCAGCGGGACGCCGTAGCGGGTAGCTGCTTCTTGGAGTTGTTCTTTTGTGATATGTTCATCTCGAAGAATCTGCTGGATGTTGGTGACTTGTGTCTGAGTGGCTGGTGGTAATGTCTTGAGCCATTTTTGAATGCCAGCTGCTGCATAGTTGGCTGGTGAGTTGTCATGGAGTGTTTGTGTGGTGGGATTAAGAATGGTGGTGGTTGTGATGGCGGTAGGGGCTGGGAGTGGGAGATGCGGTGTGTGGGTGGCGGATGATGGGGCATGGTGTGACCCTGGCTTGGTTGGTGTGAGTGCAATGCCATGATTCTTCAGCTTGTCGCGAGCGCGCTGGAGTTCGCTCTCTTGTTGTTGTAAGCGATCTGTCTGTTGCTGGAGTTTTCGGAGTGCTGTGCCTTCGCCGGCTGGTGGTGTAAGGCCTCGTAGAAAGTCAATGATGCGAGAAATAAGTGGTTGCATGAATTGTTTGGCTTCTGTGGTTTTGTTTGGAATGGACTGATCTGCTTGTTGGTGCAAATATTCAGCGATGTTGTCGATGTCCAGGTTGTGGGCCCTCATCTCCGGCAGCAATTGTGAAGTGAAGACCGCCTCCGCGATAGATCTGGTGGTGACAATGCCTGTGTAGCGTCCTTGGGACAGGATGCGTAGGCTGTGGTCCTGGAGGCCAAAACGGCTGAGCTGCCATGGAAAAATATCGAGGACTTGTTGTCCTGCGAGGTTGTATTTCCTGGACCATTGCGTCGGCTGAATTGTCCGAAACAATGTGTGACCGTGTACGGTATTCGTATCTAAATGTGTGTCGCTGGGAGTCCATGTGTCAGGTAGGTTGGGGATGTTGGGGGGTACCACACCAAGCTGTGGAGGCGTTGGGTGGTGAGATGCTGCGGGTGGGGGCAGGGGTTCGGGTGGAAACGTTGCTGGTGGTGCTGGAGAGGCGGTGGGTGGATCAGCTGGAATGTTGGCGTGATGTTGATGATGCTGGTGATAGGGGTGTTGGTAGTGATGACGAACTGCATTGGTGAGAGGTCCATAGCCGGCAGTGGGTGTCGTGGTGCCATAGTATTGTTGCCACCATTGTTGATGCGCGTCCATGATGGGAAACACTGTAGTTCTGTACAAGAAGGAGCAATAAGCACGAAGGTAGTCGAAACTGATGGTTTGAACCACAATGGCTGAAAAGTTGAAAAATTGAGACTGGAGAAAAGTCAAAATTGTGACTTGCAAAGTCGGTCGAAGCTCGAGTGGCAAGCGTCAGAAAAATCTCGAAGAGCAAAATAAGTACGAACATAGAATCAATACTGTAAGTTTTTTGCCATAGCTGGAAGGGTCAATACGCTGGAGGCATTGGGTCAGAAACCATGTACATAGAATCAAAGACCTTGAATTAGGTCTGGCGCTCTCTCACGGTGGCGCTCCAGCATCATCCCACCAGGGTCCCGGAGGTCCCGTGCCCGCTTCTGGATGATTGGGTCGTATGTTGGTGGGTGTCGGCAGGCAATAAATGGTAGGTGTGCTGTTGGATGGAGATGCGAGTGGTGCGGAGATCGGCCCGATAGCTGTCAGTGTGGCTTGTCCTTGTAGGGGAATGCGGATGTTGTAAACTTGGGTAGAGTCGCATTGCTGTGGGAAAGTGTGTTGTGATGGTGTGGTAGGGAAGAGGTTGACTGGTCGTGGGGGTG